CACGTTTTCAACCATAGGAATCAATCAAGGATCACAACAAAGATATGAAACCATACTCAATCAAGGAAGGATTACAATCCGACACCAACGATGGTCAACACAAGTTGCCACTCCAATAGGAAAGAACAAACCACACACACACTAGCATTTCAAAAACAAACTAGCATGCTTATCAAACGGGTAAACCAAACATAGTTCCATAGAACATACAAGACTCATCATGGTTCAACGAATCACAAAGTTGAACACTTAGCACGATTCAAGACACCAAATCCTACATGGATTCCTAACATACCGTTCTAGACATACGAAACATCAAGAAGACACTCAAATAGCCCAATAAAACAACATCGGGAGGTCAAAACATCAATTACCAAGTCAAAAGAATCACGGGGAACAAATCCCCGAACAACCACCAACATGTACCCCGCGGGTGGGGCCACGGGTGGACCTCCACCCGTGGTTCCGCCCACGGGTACACCAACCCACAAGCTTGTTCCCCGCGGGTGGGGCGGCGAGTGGAGCTCTGCCCGCCGTTCCGCCCGCGGGTACCACTTTGTACACCAAAATATCCCTTCGGGGATTTTCAACAACAAGTCCAAATTCAAGTCCAAAACACCCAAAATCTCACAAAATATAACAATATGACTTGAACCCAAGAAATAGCCAAGCAATAGCATACAAGAATCCTAATAACAAGCTCTAGATATGCATTCTCACAAGACAATGCATCAAAACTCACATTTCATAGCAAAAATCACAAGTAGAAGTCAAGAAATCATCATATAGGTAAGAAAATAGATTTTGTAAAGAATGGTTTACCTCTTGTAGCCTAAACCTTCACTTTTCACACCCTTAAAGCTTCTCTTAAAGCTCTCCTTCAACTTCAACTTCATAAACACACCAAAAGACACAAAGATTCCATCTTTAGAAAAAGACACCTAAAACGATACTAAAAACACCAAGAGATCAAGGATCTTAACCTCCCCTATGCTCAAGGTTAAGAAAGTTTAGATCTTGGAGACCATCTTGAAGCATCTAGGATTGCCCAAAACTTGGCTTGAAGAAGAAGCTAACAATTTTCTAGAGAGAAGGTGGAGCTTTTGTGTCTTGGGTGTTAGGGAAATGAAATGAAGGATGATGCTAGCTAGGTTAGCTTGAGGCACAAACATAAGGTAAAAAGACCTCTTTGCCCTTACTTAAGTTGGAAGAATAAGGAGACAAGGGAACAACCCATAAGGCATAGAGTACAACACTTTGACTTGGATTGACTAGTCAATTTCTAGTCCTTCGACTATTGAATTTTCAAGATTTTAGGAATAAATTACCAATTAAGCTAGGATTAATTATCTAATTAATCCTTAAATAGATTTTGAATTTACGGGGTGCCACAAGACTGCTTTTGACCTAGGAAGCGAAGGGAATGAGCTCGGCTGCTTCTCCTCCACACTTCTTTTTCTCTGTGCTCGTTCCCCATATATATATATATATATATATATATATATATATATATATATATATATATATATATATATATATATATTGGGTCTGGTGCGGTTGACAACCCCAGGTGCAGTTGTGGGGTTAATTCTGAGCCATTGATCTTGCTTAAATCAAGGTCCAGGATTACCAAAAAATTTTTTAAAAAATGCGGTGGCAATTTGGTAATTTTTGCATCTAAGTCAAATTTAAGGTGCATGAGTTTTGTGCTTAAGGTGCGTGAGTTTTATTCCTTTACCTGGACACCAAAAAAGAGTCATTAGTGAAATTTTTTCAAAAGATTGGATATTTTGCTTAATGTGCGTGAGTTTTGTGCTTAATGTGAGTAGTTGTTAAAACTTAAAGTGCCTAGATTTTGTGCTTAAAGTGCGTGAGATTTGTGGTTAAGGTGCGTGGGTTTTGTGCCTAATGTTCGTGAGTTTGTGCTTAAGGTGCGTGAGTTTTGTGCTTAATGTGAGTAGTTGGTAAAACTTAAAGTGCGTGGGTTTTGTGCTTAAGGTACGTGAGATTTGTGCTTAATGTGCGTGAGTTTGTGCTTAATGTGAGCCATTTTAAAATCTTAAGTGCGTGGGTTTGTGCTTAATGTGCTTTGTTCTGTGCTTAAAGGTGCGTGGTTTATGTACTTAAGGTGAGTGATTTGTGTTCTTAAGGTGCTTTGTTTGTGTGCTTAAGGTGCGTGGTGATTTGTGTACTTAAAGTGCGTCATTTTAATGATTAAGGTGCGTCTACCCGCACAACCGCATGGGAAACCATTCTCGCACCTGAACCCTTCCCTATTAGGTTCAAATGCGGTAAAATATGAGCTATTGATCTTGCTTAAATCAACGTCCAGGATTACCAAAATTAATAATAATAAAAAAATTACGGTGGCAATTTGGTAATTTTTTGCATCTAGGTCAAATTTAAGGTGCGTAGTTTCCCTTCTTAAGGTGCGTGGTTTTGTGCTTAAGGTGCGTGAATTTGTGCTTAAGGTGCGTAGATTGTGTGTTTAATGTGAGTATTTGTTGAAACTTAAGGTGCGTGGTTTTTGTGTTTAAGGTGCGTGGATTTTGTGCTTAATGTGAATAGTTGTTGAAACTTAAGATGCGTGATTTTCCTTCTTAAGGTGCGTGATTTGTATGCTCAAGGTGCGTCAGTTATGTGAAACTTAAGGTGAGCCATTTTAGAGTCTTAGGTGCGTGGTTTGTGTTCTTAAGGTGCTTTATTTGTGTGCTTAAAGTGCGTGATTTGTGTACTTATATGGTGCGCCATGTTAATGCTTAAGGTGCGTCAACCGCACCTACGGAAAGCCTATACTCGCACTTGAACTCTTCCATATATATATAATCCTTTATTCTTTTAACTGTGGATAATATTACAAATTAACTGGAGTCCATGCTGCGGATCGAGTCAAAAGGACGTGGGACAAGCTGGGAGCAATTATATGTTGTTCACGTTTAGTAATAATGATTCTTCGTCTCTTTCATCAATAATATTTCACGATTTTTCTGAAATTGAAGGCAACATATATTGCCAATGTGTCTAAGTTTGCATGGCAATCAGTTTCAACTTTCAATTTTCTGCATGGTCGATTTTTAAATTTTTGTGGTCCTATTCTGGTAAATAAATGAGACTATACCAAAATTACAATCTTTAAAATTAATACTATAGTAATTTCTAATAATAATAATAATAATAATGTGGTAAAATGTTACTGTGCGCAAAGAAAAAGCCAAAAGATATATTATGGAATAAATTACAATTATAACAACAACAACAACAACAACAACAATAATAATAATAATAATAATAATAATAATAATAGTGTGCGCAAACTCGCAATTCAAAAGGATTAAAAAAAAATAAAGTGTCACGCAAATTTTGAACCTTTGACCTCCAAGTTAAAATAAAACACTACAAGAAAAATGCACATAGACAACGGTTATTAACCGTTGTCGTAGGGGTATACTTTCTGTTGTTGAAGCCGGTGTTGTTGTAGGTCATGCGCATAGACAACGGTTTTTTAAACGTTGTCTTTTCTACCAACGACAACGGTTTTTTAACCGTTGTCTATTAAGTGTTGTTGAAGCCGGTGTTGTTGTAGGTCCTGCACATAGACAACGGTTAATAACCGTTGTCTTTTCTACCAACGACAACGGTTTTTTAACCGTTGTCTATTTAGTGTTGTTGAAACCGGTGTTGTTAAAAGTCACGCAATAGACAACGGTTATTAACCGTTGTCTTTTCTACCAACGACAACGATTTTTTAACTGTGGTCTATTTAGTGTTGTTGAAACCGGTGTTGTTAAAAGTCACGCAATAGACAACGGTTATTAACCGTTGTCTTTTCTACCAATGACAACGATTTTTTAACTGTGGTCTATTTAGTGTTGTTGAAACCGGTGTTGTTAAAAGTCACGCAATAGACAACGGTTATTAACCGTTGTCTTTTCTACCAACGACAACGGTTTTTTAACCGTTGTCTATTAAGTGTTGTTGAAACCGGTGTTGTTAAAAGTCACGCAATAGACAACGGTTATTAACCGTTGTCTTTTCTACCAACGACAACGGTTTTTTAACCGTTGTCTATTAAGTGTTGTTGAAACCGGTGTTGTTAAAAGTCACACAATAGACAGCGGTTTTTAACCGTTGTCTTTTCTACCAACGACAACGGTTTTTTAACCGTTGTCTATTAAGCGTTGTTGAAACCAGTGTTGTTAAAAGTCACGTACATAGACAACGGTTTTTAACTGTTGTCTTTTCTTTAAAAGACAACAGTTATAAACCGTTGTCTATTGGGTGTTGTTGAAACACCCATAAACTGTTGTCTTTTGTAGAAAGGTCAACGGTTTCTAACTGTTGTCTATTGTAAAATAGACAACGGTTTTTAACCATTTTTCACCTGCTTAAATTATAATCGTATTAAAAAACAATTTATCCATTCACCATATGTTGCAAACTGTAGTTACGTAATTGTGCACAAGCTAATAAGGTTCAAAATAACAAGTCAAAAGACAACACATGACCAATTCTAATTATCATCCAAGTCATAATACTACTACAACAATTCCCCGAACCAATTCAAGTCCAGATGATCACAACGTTCGAATGACCAAATCATACCTACTCTATATGACTTGATAGAATATCGGCCCATTCAGATCGCACCAGATCAATAACCTCTTTGTCATAATCAATTTGTTGAAACTACATGTAAAAAGTAAGAAAATAAATTAGTATAGATATAAATAATTTGCAATGAAATGAAACTGCCCTCTTACTCTCACCACATTCATACTCAAGCTGTTCATAACAAGATAATGAGTTCCCTAAAGAGAATCATAACAAGTGTAGCCAATACTTTCTATCAGAGAAAACTAGTTTGTTTCCACTTATGATATTTAAATAACCAGAAGGCAATACTTTCTATCAGAGACAATTAGAAGATTAAATGGTTAACATTCTCTTATTTTGGTTGCATAAGAAACTGGGTCACAAACGTTACTATCTCAAAGATATTTCAGCTTAACCATGGATGTGTTAATTCTTTAACAGAAGAAGGGCAGCCACTTTATTAGAGAATAGTGCATTTGGAGATTCCTGAACAAGAGCAAAATACCTGCGAAGGACTTCAATGATGATTGCAACCAAGTACGAAGCATCTCCTGCCATCTCTTCCTCAACAGGGGCAAACACAAAACTATATAGATCATCTAATGAAATTGCGGCTGAAGTCAATCGAGATTCTTGTTGCTCAAGGACATTAGCATTTAATGGGGTGCTACATGTTCCAACAATTTGAGACTGTGCAGCTGATGAATGCACTTCAAGCCCCACCAAAGTTGAAGAATCAAAATCTTGAAATTCACTTCTTTGTGTTCCATAGCTAACATTATCCTCAGAGCCAGAAGGTGAAGCTTTCATCTTTTGCTGCATGGAACTTGTGCTTTCATCTTTTGCTGTTTTCATTTTATCCTCAACAGGTGTCTTTGTGTTAGAACCACCAGAAGTTGAAGCTTTCTATGCTTTAGTTCCCTTGTGATAATTACCAGTTTTTAGTGACGACATGTAAGAGGTAACTAAAACATCTATTGCTTTAGCAACCACTGGCACAGGTCGTCGTTCAAGAATAATGGTGCGTGCAATTGATAGACACAGCTGTTTAGCCTGAAATTACACATGGCAAATGAAAGACAATAATATTAGGGGAATAAAAAGTTTTATATAGCTATAGGAAATTAGGAATAATTCTTGCCCATACAAGAGGATTAAAGACATGCATATGCACAAGTCACTCCCATAAAAGTGAGATTTCATATGCCACATTTATACTTGAAAAAGTGTAAAACCTAGTTAGGCTAGCCACAGGACAACTGGTTGATGGGGATAACAGATCACTAGAAAATGCTTGGTGATCAATCAGAGTATCAGACCAGAATAACTTGGCTGGTTTAAAAGAGTGAATGTAAAGATTCTATCAGTCTACCTTATTGGCAGGTTTAAAAGAGTGAATGTAAACATTCTATCAGTCATCCTTATTTGCTTCCAATTTCCTTCTCTGTAAAAATTCAAGGACTAGTTGCACTTCAGAGCTGCTGGCAGGAATGGCCTGGCAATATCAACATTGTAAGATAGCAATAGTAGGTCACAACACAATGTGTAAGGCAATGAAAACTTACCTCTAGATCTAAGTAGACTTTCCATGACAACCCATTACCAGTATCACATATAAAATCAAGAACAAGAAAAGTCCAGTCATCTCCATACATGATTGTTTCAGCATTGCTCAACTCTTTTTCCTCTGACTCTTCACTCTTTTGGCACATGGACTGAGAGGTTGCATCATTACTTTTTGACAAACCTCTCATCAATAGAGGAAGAGGTGAAGAAACTGGTGCATGAGAATCCACAAATAAATCATATATGATGACTACTTTTGCATCCATTTGATGAACAAGCAAAACATTGTCAACCACATTCACAGCGATTCTGTTGGAATAAATGGGGAAAGAACCCTGATAGTACAAAGTATAATTACCAAAGAGTATTTAAGATTTGAGAGTATTGTCAAGTTATGACTAAAAATCAAGATAAGCCAACAACTTCTTAAAGCATTTTACTACTACATCTAGAGAACTTTTAGTACTATAATTTCTGTAGCTTAACACAAATCTACCTGAATAAAATAAGAAAAGCAAAATGACAGTGATGAACTGCGAGGATTCTTTTGAAGAAATTGCCTACGCTTTTGCTGGAATGGCTCAACAATAGAAATAAAGGACTGGGTGACGTGCCAATCACTAATTCTAGGAGTTTGCAAAGAGTATGGACAAATGATAGGAAGCACAATCATCCATGGGAATCTGCTTTACTACAATTTTGTTTCTTCCCAAAGTATATTGCAAAAGTGTTTTAAGAAAAGTAGATTTGTGCCTTCATTTAGATGGAGAGGTGTTCTTCACTTCTCAAGGAATTAAGTAAGCTATGGCCCTTCATTAATACTGCAGCACGTTTTTGGCTATGGTTCTATTTATTCTTCCTGTACAACTGGACTTTGCCCAATCTTTAAAAACATTGTAACAAAAGTCAAGCTGGTACTCTTTTATTAATTTACTGGGAGGAAAATAGACACAATTACCATTATAAGGGAATAACAAGCAAAGTCAAAAATTTCATAACTGGAACCAATGCTACTTTGAAGCTTTGGCAAGAACTCACCTGTGGTATCACAGCATCCCGATAAAACCTGTATGAGTGGAGCAGCATTGCTACTCTATCCACTTGCAGGCAGTAAATCCTACCATAACTGTGAGTGCAAAGGAAATCATAATTTCCTTAATTAGTTTATTAAAAAAAAAAAAAAAAAAAAAAAAAAAAAAAAAAACTCAAAAGCCATTAAAAAATTCACAACTTACACAGTGATAACACGCACATCTTCAGCAGCAAGGATGGGCACATTATTTGCCTCAGATTTTGCCATCGCCATCTCAAATCTTGGCAAGCGGATTATTCCCATGGAAGAAAACTGTAAGAAATAGAATCCAAACTAAATATACAGAAGAGAAGGTACCATGTGATCAAGCCATCAAAGGCAATTACCTATCACTGAGAGTGAAAAACACATTAATATTAGTAACACAATATGTAATTAAATGAATGAAAAATTCTGTGAGCACTGAACATTTCTGAAAATGTTCTTATCTAAATAAATTGGTTCAGCTTTGAAGGAGTATTTATAGTTATGGAAGCTCAAAGATACATCTCTCATGTTGAAAAAATATATGGTGCGTTCTAACTTCACGTTTTACTCACCCATTAAAGCCCCAAAGTTGGAATTGCATGATGCTAAATCTCAAAAAGACTTTATAATGTAGAATATCAAGATGAAAATCACAAGGTCCAATGAAACTTGACTTTAGACCATCCTAAAGAAAGGCTGAAAATGCTAAAACAGAAACGTGCACAATCACTATCCTGATTAATTTCCATTTGCTAGCATCATTCACTACATTTTCACAAAAATTCTTATATTGATTTTACAGGAGATATAGTATCTCATCCATGGTATCCAACAGAGAGAGGGAGAGAACAAAACAAAAGTTGAAAATGCTAATAGAGAAGACTAGAAACAACACCTGATATCCCTTAAAAGTCTTGCATTGCATTCCTGAAGCAAGAAGCACTAATCTACTCTCATGTGTGTAGACATACCAACTCACGGTCTGTTTCTTTGTCTCCACCAAAGTAAGTGACTTTGATTCAAAATTATACGAGAATAATTCCAGTCCACTGCAGTCAAATTTTATTTCAGACACTAAATACAGCCACAATATTGAAACGCACACAAACACATAAACAAGCTCATGCGCAATGAAGGGATAGACAATGCCATACTGTTAATGCCAGCTACATCAATGCATTTTCTTCATAGTCTCATGAGATTTTGTTTCCAAAGGAATATAACTGAAGAACCTAAATTAGCATTTAGTAATCAGGCTCCTTTGAACTAATAAAGAGGCAGACTTATAAAAGACAATGTTCTTCTTAGTTCTTATAACAGTTCATGTTCACATTTCATGGATAAAGATTCATTCCATGCAGAGAGTAAATTTTAAAGATTCATAACCTGTATCATCCTATGGCAAAGCATTCAACAAATTAATTGCAGAGAATGGACTGTTGTGGTTAGACTTTAGAGTACACCATAACAATGTTTTACATTCCCATCACTTGCTGCCACAAGTTAATATGTGCAATAGCTCAATCAGTGAAGTTATTTTGAAAAGGTTCAATAATTAGCTACTGCTGGAGTTTTCTCGTCCATGAGAGTTGGGAAGTCCATAATTAACCTTTGATATACATGAAATTAGAATCTGAGAAAGAAGGGTAATTTAGAGGATAAGAACAGAAACTTTTGTCCCATGTTTTCCTAATAACCTATAAATCATTTATCTTACTAAGCATTGGCAAGTCCACAATCATCTTCTTCCTGAAGTATACCAACTTGACTTCAATGATTAAATATCTTTGTTAGTGTGGGTCACAATATTTACTGTTGAATGAAAAGTGTGAATTATGCAATTTGTTAATAATTAGCAGGCTCCTGATCATCTTGTATCTCAAGACAAATTGAAAATGTACCCAACTCACAAAAGATATTTGGCAAGGAGCACATACCAGTTCCTTCTCAAGAGTCCAAATTTTTTCTTCTTGTTTTCTTTGCCTATCCTTCAACGTTTCAACAACTTGCCTCAACTATCAAGAAAATATCATAAATAAATTAGGAGGAGAAGAAGAAATCAAGAGGAATTCAAAGCAATACAACGAAGTGCTGGAAATCAGGTAAGTTACTTCACTTGCAAATTTTCTTTCTAAATTTTAGTTTGATGATTTCCTATTTGAATTCTTCTCGAAATTAAATCCTTGAAGCTCTCCAGCTTCTATGGGGTTTAATTGATTTCCGTGTTTCCATGATTGTATAACTATATGCTTCTCCAGAGTTGAGATTATGTTCCCACATTGCATCTTGCTAGACAACTATGGCAGGATTTTACAACATAGCATCTGATTAATAGCATTATAGGTCTAAGAAAAGTTTCAGGGCAATAAATTAGAAACTTAAAAGCATTCTACATAAAGTTGTGTGCATCTGCCTTCCTAAATCTTCCTACCCAAGTGTGCACTCGGTTGGAGGAACAATTAATCTAGGGTTCATTCACAGCCTAACAATCCAACAATTAATTTAGGGAATAAGAAAATTAACAACCTAATAATCCAACAATTAATCTAGGGTTTAGGACTAACCCGTAGGATTGTGATGGGGAATCCAACGGTGGAAGAGTAGGGAGGAGGAGATGGCGGTAGAGGAGGGAAGAGGTGCAGGTTGAGAGAGACGCTAAGGGGAGACGGCGGCGCAGTTGACCGCGGAGGGCTTCTGTGTTGTCGACTTCCGCCCAGGCTCAGCGACGGTGACTGCGGAGAGCTTGTCTGTTGTCGACTTCCACCCAGGCTCAGCGACGGCGACTGCGGATAGCTTCTCTGTTGTCGACTTCCACCCAGGCTCAGCGACGGCGACTGCGGAGAGTGGCGGTCGGCGGGAAATTTTGTCTGGTCTGATGGAGTTCTGTCTGATGGAGGGAAATTTTGTATGTTGTCTGTGCGCAATTTTATCTTAGAGGGAAGACAAAAATTTCAATTCATTCCTAATTTTGTCTTAGAGGGAAATTTTATCTTAGCTTAGAGGGAAATTTCGTAACAAAATATTAGTTTAATTATCTGGGTCGCTACATCCGGTCAATTAAAATAGTATCGGGTATATAGGTAGAGAACACGAGATTCATAGATTTCTATAATGTAGCTAGATTCATAATTTCTATATAGTATATTTCTAATTTAAATACAATTGTATAGATTAATAATTTCTATACAGTAAATTCATAATTTCTATACTGCAGATTTATAATTTCTGTATTGTTGATTCATAATTTCTAAACTGTATAGTTATCAACACTTGGTAATATGAACATCGCAAAATATAAACATAAAGTTCTATAATTGTGAATATAGATCAGAGTTATTCAATCATTATGAATATGCATTTCAATTCAAAAATTATGAATATATAGTTTGGTAATTATGAACATAGAGCTAATTAAGATCACGGCAAAAGAAATGGGATATAGCTAACTGTACGGCATGCCTGAAGGGTCGATTACCAACATATAGCTAACCTTGTTAGTCATGCGCTAGCCGGAAGGGTCGATTACCAACATAGCTAACCTTGTTAGTCATGCGCTAGTCGGAAGGGTCGATTACCAACATATAGCTAACCTTGTCAGTCATGCTCTAGCCGGAAAGGTCGATTACCAACATATAGCTAACCTTGTTAGTCATGCGCTAGCCGGAACAATCGATTACCAACCTCGGCCCCTATCATACTGCCCTTAACCCCTACACATCATACAGCACCATTATGAACACCACCCCATATTGTTTTTTATACTTGATAATTATTATTATTTTTTTTGAATTCATAGATTGGTCTTAATTGTAATATAATTGGAAATAAAATTTTAATGAATTTACTTTGAAATTTTGGTGAATAATTTTATATTTAAATATGAACGAAAATTGAACTATTTTGGTAATATACTAGATGTTGCCCTTAAGTACACAAGTGTTGTTGTAGCTTGGTGGGTTTAGCTTTGTTTATTTTGGTAGAGGTCTTAGGTTCTATTCTTCTTGGGGGGAATTCTTCAACTATTTTCTAAAATTGTTGTCTTGGTTTTCACAAACAACACAGAAGCAACCCAGTTATATACCAGATGTTGCACCTTTAAACATAAGAGTTTGTGTTGCTTAGTTGGTTAAATTGTTTACTTGTTAAGTTTGAGGTCATAGGTTTGATTCTTGTTGTTAACATCTTTGTTTTTATTTTATATGCCTGTTAAATAATGATGCGCAACGACAACGGTTTTAAAACCGTTGTCTTTGTAGTGTTGTGTATTCAAATACACTAAAAGACAACATACCAAAGACAACGGTTAAATAAAACCGTTGTCTTAAACAAATAAAGAACATGCAAAGACAACGGTTATATAAAACCGTTGTCGTTTTAGTGTTGTGTATTCAAGTGCGCTTAACGACAACACACCAACGACAACGGTTAAATAAAACCGTTGTCTTCTTTTTAAAAAAAGAGCGCACAAAGACAACGGTTTTAAACAACCGTTGTCTTTCTAGTGTTGTGTATTCCATTGCGCTTAAAGACAACACACCAACGACAACAGTTAAAAAAACTGTTGTCTTATTAAAAAAAAAAAAACGCACATAGACAACGGTTTTTAAAAACCGTTGTCGTTGTGGTGTTGTCTTTTCACAAAATGCACAAAGACAACACACTTATAACAACGGTTAAGTAAAAACCGTTGTCTTTGACAAAAGTGTTGCATCAAAGACAACGGTTTTGGACGAAACTGTTGTCTTTTATACAAAAGACAACACTTTTCTTAAAAACTGTTGTCTTTCTAGTATTGTCTATGTGCATTTTTCTTGTAGTGAAATAAACACACATTTCTACCATTTCTTCATGCAACCTTTTAAATTTAATTATAAATTTTTAATTTTTATTTCTAAACTAATTAAGTAAAAAATAAATATTGGGCCATTAAAATTTAAGATTCTGTGCTGTAGTCCAACTTACATAGTCGAAAATCCATTCCTGATTCTCTGCCAACAACGTTGGTATAGGCAAATTATTGTGTGGACCTAGTATAACGACAATTTGGGTCCCACACCTTCCGTTAATACTGTTATAGTGCGATTATTGGCCTAGACGTTTCCTTTGTTTAGACCAATAATTGGTGCAATACAATAGCTACCTAGATGTAGGTCGAGTCATGTTATTCCCCCACTTAATTATTTTTTATTCTTTACTAATGTATGTATTATTCTTGGGATTTTTTGAATTAATTTTTTATTCCATTATAACAAGTTAGGTATCAAAACAAATTAATCGATACTACATTCTCTTAAAAAATCATTTTTAAATATTTATAACATGACATTTTCAAATAGTATTTAGAAACAATTTCATATGATTATCCCAAACATATATAATGATTTTTTAGAAGCCATAGTGAAGAAATGAAGTTTAAAATTTTGGGGCAGCCCAAGCCAAGTTTGTTAGATTGTTAACTTTATAATCACAAATTACAAGTTTGATTCCTAGCGGGAAGGACCTGTTGACTTTAGTGCACACTCTTAGATAATGACTATGAATTTCTCTCTCCATTCAAAATCATTTTAAATATTTACTACATGACATTTTCATATAGTATTTAGAAAACAATTTCAGTCATTATGCTGTGCACACGGATGCAAAAACGACGTCGTTTTGACGTCGACTTAAAAAAAAAAAAAAATCAGAATTGCATAACTACACATCCATAATTTCATAAATATACATCCAGAATTGCATGACTACACATCCATAACTTCATTACTATACATCCAAAATTGCATAACTATACATCTATAACTTCATAAGTATAAATTCATAATTGCATAACTTCATAACTATACATTCATAATCGCATAACTACACATCCATAATTTCACAACTATAAATCCAGAATTGCATAACTATACCTCCATAATTTCATAACTATACATTCAGAAATTATGTACAACATATGTTGTTAATGGGAATCGAAATTGAATTTTTTTTTTAAGTTGGACGAGCATTTTTAGTCAAAACGACGTCGTTTTTGCATTCGTGTGCACCATGCAGCACAGCATAATTTGCCACAATTTCATATGATTAACCCAGTTTAAAATCCATTTTAACAATTTTTTCTTTGAGTTGGTATTGTGATCAAATGTTGGTTGGAATTCAATATGCATTCAGCTTGTCCCAATGTGATTTTATATAATCTAAACTTTATAAATATCAATGAGGGTAACTTATACATTGTTTTTGACTTTATTGTGCAGTTACAAATTCTTTTTTATGTTACTTTATTTTTTCCTTTAAGTTGTTAATTAATATCGTTAAATATGATAACTTGTTTATTATGCTTATTATCTTATTATAAATTTGCAAATGCTTTATAATTTTACATTTCTTTGATTTACGGAAAAGTCATCAGTCACTACTTTTGGATGAAGTCGGCCTTAAAACTCTAACCGCCGAAGGATTACAAGTGTTAGACTATGTTTATTAATTATATTTATTCTATTGTATTTTGTAGCATAGATTAATTGTTCTAGTCTTAAGCCTATTATTTAGGTCTCTCTCTAAGAGAGTATATTTGTATTCAGATTCAGTTATTGAATGAATCTATCGCTTCCACTCTCATCTGGTATCAGTTAGCCAGTCAATATCCCCCTCTCACCTTTCTCTCTCCTAGCGTCAATCATGTCGAACGACAGTTCTGAGCGGACCCTCACGGCCACCACTGTTTCTTCCGGCAACTCTGGTCCCAACACCCTCACGAGCGCACACCATTTCGTATCGCTCAAATTGATGCACCATGACTATTTGTATTGGAGGACACAGGTGATTCCGTTCCTCCGCGGCCAAGGCCTCCTTGGCTTTGTTGACGGTACACGGCCGTGCCCCTCATCACATCTGGAGATTCCGGCCGGCAGCGGTCCTGATGATGTCGCCTCTTCCACGGAGAACCCGGCGTATGGCATATGGGTGCAGCAAGACGCCTCGATCTTGTCTCTACTGATTTCCTCTCTCTCGGAGGAAGTCATGTACCTTGCACTTGGCCGGACAACCTCGCGCTGCGTGTGGTTGGCGACGGAAACGGCTCTCAGGTCGTCGACGGAAGTCCGAAGCTTGAATCTGCTCGGGCAAATTCAGACATTACGGCAGGGTGACAGCTCCACGGAGGAATATTTGGGGCGTGCGCAACATCTGGTCCAGGATCTTGCGCTCGCCGGCCGAACCCAAGAAGATAAATAAGGTTAGGTGGTTCATAATTGATTTTACATTTCTTCTTTGTTTATGATGCATTAACTTACATTATTTATCTCTTTATTACTTCTTTGTTTATAATGTACTAGCTATACTTAAAAGTAATTAAGTATTATTTTCTATATTTATTGCTGCCTCCATTCTTGCATCTATAAAGTAAAAACACACTTTTCTCGGACATCAAGAAAGCAGCCCAGATGTGGATGTCAAAACCCTTTGTTTTCTTTACCTTTTTATGTATATTTATACAAGTTTTTGAAGTAAAAGCAAGCATTATATTGGATCATTGACTAGGAACATCAATATAAAATTCTTCTTTAGTTGAAATAGTAGGTAGCCACCAAGTTATACCAGATCTTTATTTTAATATCCCCTATAAAATATATAATAGGACAAAAATATAGATAGTTATAATCAAGTCCATGCTTAAGTATTAATATCATATGGTTGTGTAGTGTGCACGAAATATAAGTTTGTACCCAATAAAATACTTTGAGAGTCAATGCCATATGGAATCTTTCGAGTATAATGGTTTTCTTACGTGTAGTCCTAAATTTTTAGTCTGACTATCCATGATCTTTCGACTTTCAAATTGTTATTATCCGTGGTCCATGTTAACCACCCATAGTCCCATAGTCCATCAACTTTCAAAATTTAACCAGTTGCGGCCATCTTGGAAGGACCATGAGTGGTTAAAATTTGATAATTGAAGGACCATGAGTGCTTAACTTGGATCACAGATGGTAACAATTTGAAAGTCAAAGGACTACATGTACGTGGTCAATTCGAAACTTTAGGACTAAATATGGTAAAACTAGTATACTCGAAGGACCCAAATAGTACTAACTCAATACTTTGATGTAGATATCTTCTAATCTTTTAATTTAAAAGATATCAAATCTTCTCAATTTGGCAAAACATTCAGCAGAAATATTATATAGGCAAAAATATTAATTTGACTCCTAAATTTTTGTTGTTCAATCAATTTTTTCTATCGTAAATTGTCAATTTTGATAGATGTACAACATTCCCAATTAATTGCTAAAAAACATCTCCAATTTTTGAATTATTCAATCAAGAACTTTAAGCGAGTCGAAACTCCAACACTACAAGAAAATATCAAAATAGCAACAGATTTAGCTACGGGTTAAATAGCTACAATCTAAAAGGGGTGTACTCAATCCTAACTTTTATAGATTTTTAAATACTTTTATCAACTTTAAAAGTTTGGAGGTATTCAATTCAAATTTTTAAGGAGTCTTTAAAAATCATGAGGTATTCAATCATAATTTTTAAAGAGTCTTTAAAAGTCCGGTGGTATTTGATTAAGACTTTTAAAGAGTCTTTAAAAGTCATGTGATATTCAAAAAGTTATGAACTTATTTTTAATTTTAAGACTTTTGTAGATTATTCCTTCTCAAATATAAATAGTTAGAAATCCAACAATCAACCTCAAGATTTCAAAATTTTCTTTCTACCAACTCTTAATGTTTTCTCCCTCTATTTTTTTTTCTTCCTATTTAAACTTTATAATCCTGATACCAAAATTCAATAAATTATTTTTTCTTCATTATCCTATATTTTCTTCATATTATACTCTACCAATTTTTTCTCTCTCCTAACCTTGACCATCTTCCTCAAAAATTCTAAATAATATTATATATATTATTAATATTATATATATATATATATATATATATATATATATTATTAACATTATATTTTTTATTTTATTTTATTTTATGCAACTAGTAAATGTATTTTTAAATATTTTATTTGAACAATTATGTTACTATAAATTTTAGTATTCAATATTCTTATGGATTTCTTATAGTAGTTTTTTTTATGCTTATTAATACTGTATAAGTAATTAGCACATAACTCTCACCATACTATGAATAAAAATAACAATGTTGAGAATGTTGATGTGGGTGAACAACTATATAATAAGAAGAATTTTATGATAAATTATAACATGTTTTGTAAGAAAATTATAAATGATAAGAATCCAAATCATTGAAAGTTTGTAAGGATGTTCAATTTAGAATTTTAATGACTTTTGTAGACTTTTTAAAATAAAAACGTTGATAAAAGTTTATATGAATGTTTATTATATAGACTTTTATAATGTCTTACAAAGTTTTAAAAAGTTTTGAAAGACTGTATGAAAGTCAATAAAATTTTATTAAAATCTATTATTTTAAAAATCTTTAAAAATCTATAAAGTCACGATTGAATACACTCCCTAAATATCTACAAATTTCAATGTTTTATCAAAGGAAACCTATTGATAAATTAAATAGCCTATAGATTTCAGTAATTTACTTAATGATTTTTTTATTAATAAATTTAATTTTTCTTAGCTTGTAGTGCAAATAGAGAGTTGATTGTTTTATTCTTCTCCCAAAAGGTTGAATTTCCAACCCCAAGGGCCCTCCACGCCCGGTCCGATTGAGCATTTGAGAGGATGTAAATCAGGTGATTCAATAATGGCTCAGCAGACAGGGTCAAACCGTTGGTGCGTACAAGGGATCTGTCCACTTTGGACATAATTCCTATACTACCGCCGCCGAGGTTCGAACCTTGGTTTCTTCTTCTACTGAACCATAGAGAAATGATTGTTTTTATAGGAGATCTGCGTGTTTTTCTTTGGAGATAGATGGATAATTCGTCCACCATGTTTTTATCAAATTTTTAATTTTATGCCAATTTTGGTTCAATTTGTTTGATGGATAAAAGCTTTAACCTAGCATGTTGGTAAAACAAGAAACATAATTGAAAGTTGAAACGGGCATTATGCATCTATGGTTTCCACTACCCATTGGAGTGGATAATTGTAGCTAGGAAACAACCCCACCTCCCAATATCATATCAATGGAAGCATCGCCATTGCTCAGAGCCTCAGAAACACCACCCAAGAAGAAAGCTGGCCAATGGGCTACCTACAACAACATTAAAATCTCAATAAATCAAAAATGTATGTTTTTGTCCACTTTGTTGTTTTTACTGAGGAAAGGAAAGAATTGAACAAAGTAACAAACGACTTAGCTTTTGTTTCTCGATCATCTTTATTACTTTAATTAATTTTTGGCTTATGAAAGGGAAACCCACCAGAAGGATGTAGGGAATGTATGGTTGAATGAGGAGTTGGAATCCACTTAGAAAGCAGCAGTTTTAGTAGTAGTGTTTCATCTTTGATGTGAATTGAGGAAGGAAAAAAAAAAAACACATGGATTTTCGAATGAGACACTTGCATGCCTCCAAGCTAAGGTTGACAACCACGCTTCTTTCCGACCTGGAAAGATGGTGTCCACTTGATACTTACTTCCATTCCCTTTATAAAAAGGTTCAACTCTACCTGTACGAGCTTAGCTCAATGCTTCAGTAAATAGTATTTAGGAGAAAAGATCAAGGTTCGAATCTTGGCGACGATAGTATGTGGATTATGTCCAAAGTGAGCAGATCCAATCCTTTAGCTTGTGCGCACTGGCATTTGGCCTTGTTTGCTAATCACAGTGATTTACATCCTCCTAAATGCTTTGTCAGGCCAGAGTGTAGGGGCCATTGAGTTGAGAATTCAAACTTTTGGGAGAAGAAAAAGTTCAACTCCAATCAGAGGATTTTGCGAGTGAGGTAAATAGCAAAATGTGTCTTAGTAAATCAAGAGCTTATTACAATGGTGGTATCCACAAGAAATTTACCTTAATTACTCTGCCTTTTGCACATACTATTGATGATGAGTTATGTCCCGAAGGCACTTTCATATATTTATATTTTTATTGGTACATCATAAGATTAATTTTTTGTTAACCTTTTAACATTAGTTATATGGTATTCCATATAAGCAAGGAGGCTGTATGTACTAACCCCAAGCAACAACGTGTACCGCAATCTGTCAATCTTTAAGGTGAAATTAAAGAGAGTTTCTATAATATTATATAGCACGATCTCAAATAGTTCTTATGAAATGTAATGCATGAATGTATGAGTGATAATTCATTGTAAGAAGTTTCGTTTAATTTTTGGCACATAATATAATACAAATACGATATTGTATTACTAGATCTTGGTTGTTTCTTTCTTCTATAATGTATTCTTACAACTCTAATGATTGATGAGAAAGAATCAACTTAATTAAGAACATAATTAATAAATTAATTTAAGCGAAATCAAGAAGATATTATTGTTATAATATATGTAGGGTAACTATATATAGTGAGTGTGCAAGGGTGTAAATAAATAATATGGTTGATTGGACTCCAACAAAAGCAATAATCTTATCTCGTTACCTTATTAGTAAGGTACACAAACTTCATTGGATAGATGTAGTGAAAAAGAAAGGCATCATATTTTTAGATGTCTAACAATGTACATGATCACCAAGGATAATTGCAAAATATGGAAAAAGTTCCCTAATACTGAACAATAATTTTCTTTTATTATTAAATATATGACTAAAGAGAAAACCCACAACAAGAAATTACATAAAACGTGAAAAGTCACTCTAAAACTTGTTCAAAAAATAATGACATGATTCCTTGGAGGCAATTCCATCTGAGTTAGTTGGGTAGGTTGCTTAATAACCACAAAATTTCAAGTTCAATTCCTCATATGGGAGTTGTTTATTGCCTTATTGGTTTGAGCTAGTCAATTATAGACAAACTAAAATGATTTACCTTATTGTGGTTTTTTGTCGTTTAGAGTCATAATACGAGCCTTACTCATAGCACACTTTCAAGTAACAATTGTGATTCGCTTCGGAGAGAAAACGTAAAATTGGAACCTCAAATGTTGTTCCTCTATCTATTTGCGAGGTCATCCACTCAATACATCTACATTTCTTGGAACATTAATTTATATATATATATATATATATATATATATATATAGAGGATTATATTCAAATACAAACAGTCTTTATATACAGGGCTGGCCCTGGACAAGGGCAGACTGGGCCCTTGCCCAGGGCCCATGCTTGGAGGGGGCAA